TAAAAGAGGATATCCCTGAAATTGACAATTTCCACATAAAACAAAGTCAAACGAACATCAAAAAATACTTTTACTTCAACAATTTCTAGGTAATTCAATTTCTTGAAATTCATTTTCTTTCCATGTAATTTTCCTACTTGTAATCAAACGCACCCTAAATATTAACTTAACGCCAGTTAACGCCCCGTTACGGGTGAGCCGAAACAGAACAAACGGGGTTAGTGGGAGGTGGTCCCCGCCACACACTAGTCGGCAGTCAGTTTGGCAGGGGATGGGCACACGTGAGCGGTTCGCTACTTACACTTTATACTCTCTCACCTCACGTGACTATCGTACTGTCCCCACTTCATTAAATGATTTTTTTACTTTTTATTCTATTTAATTTTTATAAATAAAATTCAAGTCCGCCTCTTATTTTGGGTCCCGTCACGTCACTATTAGTGAACAGACGTGTGCAAAAAAGGTTGGTGCACGCCTCACTTTATGTTTTGAATTCAGAGTACTGAATTTTGGTTTATTTGTTCATAACAAGTTTATTTCTAGCTTAAAATTTTAATTTTATTATCTCTATATTATTGATATCATGGACTAATTCTGTTAACTGGCCGGACCTATTAACAATGCAAGTCAACAGTCTCCAAGTTGACTCGATGATTCGAGCAGAGTTTTATAACTATGCTCTAGGATCTTTCCTTATACACATGTAACGCATTAAATTGAAATGTCTATAAAAATAATGAACATAGTTTGTCGCATGTTCACTTTCTTAAATCTTGTTCTATCATATTTATTCGCTAACACCTAATTTGACAAAGATTTAAGCGCACTGCTCTCAACTCTTAGTGATATTTCTTCCTACTTATATTTAATTTTTCAAGTTCAATGTATTGTATATGCACGTAGAAACACCGTGTCTCTAGATGATCTAAAAAATTGAGAAAAATAAAAAAACAAAGTGATAATAGGTTTTTATTGATAGAAGGGATAGATAAGTTGATAATAAGTTAATAAATAAGGATTATGTTATTTGTACATAACATATTACATAAAATGATGTGGAAGAAAAAGATTGGATGATAATATTGATTATGTTTTAAATTGATAAATGATAAAATGACACGTGACATTATACTCTGTAGGCTTAAAATAGTGGAGTATTCTATAATGGGCAGTGGGACCTACCACTTCACATTATGAGTTGGCCACGTGATTCGAGGAGGCGGACTATGTGGTGTGGTAGGCAGACATTTTTTTAAATCACGTGTATCTCCCGAATTCCATGCAAATCATGCCACGTGTCCACCACTCACAATTTCTTATACTGAAATATTAGCGTCTTGTCGTTGAAAATAATTAAAGCCCTGTTTCGCCCCCATCTCTTCAAATTAAAATAAGTGTAACAACATTTTTTTTGGAGAATGAATGGTTGAAGGAAGATTTTTTTTTTTCAATTTATGTGTAATATTATTTTATAAAAGATTGTGTGATTGAAAAAAAAAAGAAAAAAATTAATTTAGTGGGAGCCAAACGGGGGCTTAACTTTCTTTAATTGGATATTATTTTGTTAAACCATGCTACATGTACTATCTAATTTAACATTTTGATTGGCAATTCATACTCGAGAACATCACTAATTTATTTGAAAATTTATTTTTAAATTAATGGTTCAAATTTTGACAACACTAACATTATCAATTATTATTGTACAATTATTTATAGTAATTCGAAGAAGAATAATTATTGTTAACTGATCCCTAAGCTGATACCTTAAGCAGAGAATGTCCATGGCACGAGACTCTAGGGGAAAAGTAAACTATACTAAAACTAATTAATTAATTAATTAATTTCATTTAATGATATAGTCAAATTACGAATCATTTGATGCCAGAGTTGCATTTCCGTGCAGGAGAGAGAGATTCAATTGTCCTTGGTTTGATAGAAATTCAAGAGTTCTTGGAAACATCCTTGGTTTCGAGGACACGATATTTAATATGTAGTATTGAATAAGGGTAATATATATGGTTATTTTTATTCAATTATTTGTACAGAAATCTTTCTCACAGAATTCTACCAAAATACTTTCATGTGTGTGGGCTCCATGTTTTGATAAAAAATACCAAAAAAATCTCCCTCCCCCACTGTGAGGTGTATGTATCAATTCTATGAACTTCCATCTGTACGTGTATAAATAGGGATGTCAAACGGATCGAGAGGCTCGTCGGCTCGTTAAAACTTGGCTCGTGGGCGGCTCGATCCCACGAGCGGCTCGTGGGCTCGTCCAAAAAATTGAAAACTCTCTCTACACACACACACACACACACACATACACACACACACACACACACACACACACATACACACACACACACACATACATACATACATACATACATACATACATACATACATACATATATATATATATATATATATATATATATATAAGCAGTGATGAATAAGAATCAGCGTGACAACGATAATGAATATGAGTCATGATGTTCATCAGAAATGGTGATGAACAATAATATATGAAGTAGCGGGATCGCTGTCACATTGAAAAATGAAATTGTTATATAGCTTTATTCATTAGACAATGTGATAGTGTCAACACTTGTTCATCGAAGAGCTAAAAAAATATAAAACAATTATTATGTTTCTCATTGATATGATTTAGAGGGGTGAATCGACTTTACCGGAGTTCGAATATTCTTGACTCTAATTTTGTCTGAATCACAACATCGAGTGGCCATCTCTGTTTTTATCATTCTCACGTGATTTTTTTTTGTTTTGTTTTATCTGTCTTGGACGGCTAATCTAGTGTTTCACTTAACATCTTAGTACTGGAAATGTTATAGTACTACTTGAGCAACTATATGAGGTCAGGATGCAACCATAACAACTATAATATTTACACACCAGACATGAGAGGACATACGACTTGATTTGGTAATTAATTTAAAAAATCTAAACAAACAAAAATGGTTAAAGAAAATCTTTTGGAAAACAAATTGGACTGGTCAATTCAACCGAAAAACCGTGTATCAATTTAGAAATCGATCTGATTACACATCGAACATTGAAACTCAAAGAACTGGCCGATTGACCCTCCATTGATTCAGCTCTTTGTCTTCTTCGGATTGACGTGTGGTTCAGTTTTCATAAGACCATTAATGAGAATTTAAAAAATTATACATACATGTCCCCAAAGTTTGGATACACATAGTTGGTACAAGCTGTGTATGCATGTTGTACCATGTTCTAGCAACCTTTTTATTCTAACATATAGAGTGAAAACAAAAGGGTTTATTGCCAGCCTGTTTGGTTAACCCTCAAATATATAAACTTTAAGTAATGTTAAAGTTTAAAGTTTGGCCTTGTTTGTCGGAGATAAAACAAACATTTATGAAGCATGCTTCACTTTATTAAGATTAAAAAAAAAAAAAAAAAAAAAAGGTTAAACCCTACCCTTAAGGGTCCCCCCGCCCCGCCCCTCTGGAGTGTCATGAGAGAGGTTAATCGCGGAATGTGCCCCAGCAGGTCAGGGAACAAGAAATGCATGTACACTAGTGCCCACAAAGAGTCCCAATTCATATTTTAGGAATCGAACCCTCACACTGCGGCTACCAGCAAGGCTGAGTATACATCACCCTTATCCTTTGCACCACTGTAATATGCCCCGGGGGGCATTTGGCAAGTTAATTATACGAAAAGTGTATTGAGAATGACAGGCGAATGTTACCCCTTGTATCTAGAATGTCTATATTGGAATTGATTTTAAATTGTCCTCACACCACCTCATTAAGCACCCATTTGACACCCATTTTGTGAAAATAAAAATGAGTGGAATAATATTTGCTTGAAATATAAGTGGTTAAAAAAAATTTCAATTTACGTGTAATATTATTTTATAGAAAATTGTGTGGTTAAAAATAAAAAAATAAAAAAATATAATAGAATAAAAATTAATGAGGGCCAAACAGAGACTAAAATTTCATCAGTATTATCTACTATTTATTTGAAATATTAAAGTAACTTAGCTCTTGTTTGAGCCTTATTCTTTAAAAAAATAGATTCTTAAACAGTGTTTTGACATCATTTCAACAACATATTATGTAACAAAAAATATTACACGCAAATTCAAAATTTTTCCTTATTTTTAACTACACATTTTTCATTAATACACGATTCAAAAATGCATTTTTCACCAAAATGGGCCTCAAACAAGGGCTTAGTCTTTGTTTGTCAACTATTCTACCACATTATTTTTTTACAGTCATTTTCAATCACACATTTTTTATTAAAATAATATTACACATAAATAAAAAATTTTTCCTTTTTTTTTAACCACATGTTTTAATATCAATCACTATTCCATAATACACTTTTTAAAATTAAAAGACAACAAACAGGCCCTTAAATTTTTTAAGTCTAAATTTATCGTCGTAACATATTGCACGTGTCTCAATAACGATTAGGCAATATACGGACAGTGGATTAGAATCGTTATTTATCCAAACAAAATGAATGTGACGGTGGATTGAATAATGATTCATGCGTCGAGCAATTACAAGTAATGCTTTTATTCTTAATAAATGTGTAGTTGACCTTTTTTAAAATTTCTAATTTTATCTAAAAGAAAAAAAAATGTCACATCTTACAATGAAATTAAAAAAGAAAATTGCAAATGCTAAAGCAGGAACAACACGATTTGATCTTTTGATTAAAGCATTAATTCAGTTCAATAAATTAATAATATTAATCCGGATAACAAAAAAAAAAAAAAAAATACTCATTTTAAAATATTCAATTATACCGTACATGGGCTAAGCGCCACCTAACAAACCCAAAGGCCGTTAACTAATATTTTCATCTTTATTGCAATATTACTCTCTAACATGTACCGTAAAATTGTGACCTATTTTAAGTTCATTTTAAACTTGTGACCTATTTTTATGTAAGATTGTAACTCGTTTGAGTATATTTATCTTTAAATTCGAATGCTTTGTTTCAATTTTAGACGTAGAGAATTGCTTATTTAAACCTATAAAGTCATTTCACCGGAGTTTCATCTTTAAACATAAACCAAGAAGCACTACTGTATTTAAAAGATTTCTCCTCAAAACTCAGAGGGGAAAAAAAAAATTGTACAGAGAAAAATTAGAGAGAGAAATACTTTATTTTCTCCAATTTCGTGAAGGAAAAAAATCCAGTGTTGTGGGTGTTTGTGAAGTGGGAACTGTGTTATTTGATTCAAACTGGGCCTACATATCCAATCTGCAAAATTCACTGTTTGGATCACTTTTTTCTTACGCTTTGAAAGTGGTTTTTTTGAAGAATCTGGGGCTGAATCATTCAAAATTTTCTGGTAATTCAGATTCAGTGTGCTGAGACTTTTTTCTATTATAGATGTTCATTTTTACTTCGTTTTATTCCATAATTGAAGAGTTGTGTGGTTATGTAAGAGATTATGCTTAATTTAATTCATTTTTGGATTTTTAGATTCGCCGAAGAAGTTCAATGGAAGAGAAGAAGATAGCGGAGGTGATTTAAATGGATTCAATTGCGACGCAGTGAAGTGAACGTAGGATTTTTGAGAATTCTTCATCGAAAATGCGCCTCCGATCGTGAAATCGGAGGCGGATCTGAACGGCAGTTGAAAAGCTGGAAATTTTTTGCGAAATTCAGTTTATTTTGCCGCGGAATTTTCGTCAATTTATTGCAATTTGATCAGTAATTCTGAATTGAAGTTTCGATATAAATGGAACTGCCTCAACCCAGACCTCTAGAAACCGAAGGTAATTTGCGTAATTCATGATGTGTGAATTCAATTTCTGCAAATTATTCATTCGAAAATTTGAGTTGATTCAGTTTTAGTTAATTTACTTGTGTGTCTATAAGTTTTATGTGTTATTACAGGTAGAAAGGCAACCCATGATTTTCTATCACTGCATTCACCTGTCCAACAAGATCCACGACCTCCGCAAGGTAAATTTTGATTTCAATTCATGCAAAATATTATTACTTTTACGCCTTATTTCGTGAGAACAATGAATTCAGTGCTGTAATTAGGTTCTTTCCTTCATAAACATGAAGTTTTATTTGAATTTATATCAAAGATTTACTGCGACGGAATTACTTTATGAATTACAAAATTATTTTGATTGTTTTAACGGTTGTAAACCGATTTGCTTTTGTTTGTGATTGGTTAACGCATGACCAATCACATGGAAACTTTTGCTTACATCTTTACTGATTTAATCAATTTGGAGAGATCTTGGGGCTTTGAATTTTTCAGAATTGTTTTATTGAAATTAATTTGGTATTAAGCAGGATCTTAAGTATTTAAGTTTTTCTAATTTTCATCTTTTTTCTTTGTTCCTTTCGACCACCTCCAAACGTCGTCAAAAGGTTACATTATGATTTGAACCTGTGACCTTCAGATCACGAGGCTTGATTCCGTGACAGTTTATTTAAATAAATCTTGTATAATTGTTAAATTATATGATCATCCTATATATATATATATATATTTATTTATTTTATTTTATTTTATTTTATTTATATTTTATTGGGGGTGGGGCGGTGTGGAGTGGGGTGCTAGTTGATTGTGAGGTTGGCAAGGGAAAAATATCAGGCACCCACGAGTGGCGCAGTGAATGTCCCCGTGACCCCCATTGATAAATCTGGGCCATATCCTTCAGGTGGGGCAGTGTTGGGTGAGGCTGACAATTATACAGTCCAAAATGGAAAAGGATTAGAACTTCCGTTGGGTTTTTGGTGCATTTGATTCAGCCTCCTTTGGTAGGACCCAGTTGAACTCATAGAAAAATTAAGGGGGTGTTCTCTTTGTGTTTCAGTTTTGTGTTTTGAGTTTTGAATTCATTTTGAGTTTTGTATTTTGAGTTTTTGTTTTGAAATTGTTGAAAATGCGTTCTTTTTGTTAGTTTCTCAAAACAAAAAAAAATAATTTTTTTTTTAAAATTTTGAGAATCACCACAACACCACTTCAAAACACCAAAAAAAAAAAAAAATTAATTTTTTTTTTTTTTTTTTAAAATTTTGAGAATCACCACAACACCCCCTCAAAACACCAAAAAAAAAATTTTTTTTTTTTTTGAAATTTTGAGAATCACCACACCATCTCCTCAAAAAAAAAAAAAATTTAATTTTTAATTTTTTT